TGAAATATTTTTTTTTCCCCTGCTGGGAGACCACATTGTTCATTAGCACCGGGGTTGCCTGCAACTGCCTGTGTGTTCCTGTCATGCTCGGATCCCAGAAATCCCAGCTGCTTGTTCCCTTGGCAGCCCTTGGCCCATCATGCCCAATGATGGCCAGGCAGCTGATGGGAACATCACATCCAGCCCCGGGGTTATCTAAAATCTCTCTGCCACACCAATTACACCGGGCTAATCCTGCCCCTCCCAAATTGGTGTGCAATTAGCAGGGAGCAGCCCATCTGCATATTTGTAATCCTCTGGTTGGATACCACCAGCAAGCTGCTGCTTTCCCAGCTCCCTTGCCTGACAAATTGCCCACAGGGACAGTTAAATTCCATATGGATCAGCTCCACGTGGTGCAGGGGTGCAGAGAGGAGGAGAGCATCCTTCTAACTCCCTGTTTTTAATGTATTTGCTCTCTTCCAGATCCAGAGTCAAACATTGTATGCAACTACACAAGTCTTACATCGGTGCTGCGGCCGCTGGGCTGCAGCGCCTCGTCTGTTTGCAAGAACAAAAGAAAAAAAAAAAAAGTGCAAGGGTCACTTTATGCATTCTTTAGTGGTTTTTGTAAAAGCTGCTTTTTCTAATCTTCTGCCTCTTTTTTTCTCCCCTTCCTCCCCCTCCCACAAGAATTGTGTAACACACATACTGACACTGAGCAATAGTCAAGTTCTCTCTTCAGTCCTATCATTTGAAAGCTCAGAATCTTCACTTTTCCAGCATTGCCCAGCTGAGTGGTGCAAAGATCCCCCCCACTTCTTGTTCGTTTGGGTTCTTTTTGTTATTTTTCTGTTGTTGTTGTTGTTGACAAGAGCCTAGATTTTTTTTGGCTAGTAAGAGTGGTTGATGTTCAGGGTACTATGTGAAAAGCACAGCACTGGTAGGCAGGCTTATTCCAATTTGGTTTGGGTATTTTTAGTTGAAGAATATCAATTATTCAATCTTTCATAACATATTACAAGAAAATTGGTGTCTTCCAGATAGCTGTCGTGATAGATTATAAATGCATTATCTGCAGTGGAATTCTGAACTCATCCCTTCTTTTTGTAGGAGTAAGAGAATATAAATATAATTAGCAACGTAACACACTTGTCTTAGGAAGCACGAGGACTGGTCACCAGCGGGTCTTTGGTCTGCTTTTTCCAACTGGGCAAATGGATTGTGGGTGATGGGAAGGGAGCAGCGGGAAGACTGTGTGCCCTGGGAGCATGTTGAATCCCTTGGGAAAACAGGATGCTCCCCCTCAGCCACGTCCTGGGGCAGTGTAAGGGAGAAGGCGGCTCCTTCCTTGCATGGCTGCTGTTTGCAGGCAGAGATGTGCTGGGCAGCTGCTGAGGGAAGCAAGATGTCCAAAAGTTGGGCTGGAGAACTTCTCCAGGTTTAGGGTTTAGTCTGAGGAGTTCCTCCAGGTTCATGGTTTGGTCTGAAGAGCTTCTCCAGGGTATGCTGGTGTGGGAAAAGAGGGTGTCAGGTTGATGGAGATGAGTTTTCAAGGCAGGGCAAGGGAAGATGGGTGCTTGAGCTTGCACCCATGGTGTTGGCAGGGCTGAGACCAGACTGCACGCCCTCCTCGGCTGTTGAGGTATCCCCCTCCCATTCTTTGGGTTACAGCTCCAAGACTTCCAGGAGGAATGTTTATCCAAGCACAAATACCAGCACCATGGAGAAAGGCCAGGAGGGGGATGATGTCTGGCTGCTCTGCTTGGAGAAGTGGGAGAGAAGGAAGCAATAGCAATAAACACGTCACCTCCTTCACGGGAAGACACCTGAGAAGAGGTGACAGAAGGGAAGGTGATCCACAGTTGACATGGAGCAGGATGGGGGACACCGGACACACAAAGGCTGTGGGCATCAGGGTCATTTTGGGGGGGTTTATCTTACTCGGGGACATGGGGACAGGAAGCTGGTGACACCCCCCTTGGTGTGTCCAAGCAGAGCAATAAGTTGTCTTGAGGACAGCAGAGGCAGTTTGGATTTGCAGACAATGCTTGTGGCCAGTTTGTTTTATATCCTTGTCACTAAACCCAGCATAGAAACAAGGTTTTTGGGATTGTATTGGTTTTTTTAAAGACAAAAGTGTGGTTGGGTTTTGATTTTTGTCTCAAGTGTGCCAAAAGTGTGCCATGCTCTCGGTAGAGTCTCCCAGCTTGGCTTCTGCTCCTGGAGCTCCTTCCCTTGAGCATAGGCCAGGTTGGGGAGTAACAATCCTAGGGATCCCAGAAGGACTTTCCCTCCCACTGGTTGGTCCCAGGAGGTTTGTCAGGTTGGGTGTTGGTGTTAGCACTTCTGTTTGGGGGGTCATTTAGTTGATTCTGCTGGTCTTGTTTCTGAGGACAATCTAGAGCAAAGCTAGATTGTCCTCCTCAGCCTCCTCAGCCTCAGGAGGAACAAAGTGGGGGAAGACTGTGCTGGGGGTGGGGGGGGACACCAGTGCTGTGGGGTGGGGAAGGGGCACCCTTGGGCTGCACTTTAGGTTCATATTGCAGGAAAAGAGAAGGAAAAAAGGAAAAAGAGCCAATAATCAGTGGGTTCTCCCATTTGGCTCAGCAAGGCCAAGGATTAGTAAAGAGCAACAGAACCTTGGGAAGTAACACCAACACATCATCCTTCCACTGTTTGTAGCACACTTTAGTTAAACCTGGGCCAAAAAATCCCCAGATCCTAAGAACTGAAGAGTTCTGAGATCCCCTTTTTTCCCCTCTCATGTTGACTTCGTGTTATGTACCAGGAGCTGTCAGCATTGAGTCAGGTCTCCCAACTTAATGGGGCTCTGGTTTGTGGGGTCCAGCGAGCTTTGGGATCCCAGCCTGGGCTCTGCAAACCACCTTTCCCAGCAGACACCATCCCGCCACTCTCCCAGACACCCTGCACCACTTTAGAAACTACTCCTAAAATTTTGGCCCACATGTGGAAAAGAGATGTTGGGCTTTGTCCTGGAAGGAAAAGAAACATTAAAGGTGAGGGAGAAAGCCCCAGGAGCTGATTGTGGTGGAACACCCAGTGTTCCCACTGATGAGACCTGACATGGGGCAGCTGGGTTTTAATTCCTTTGCTTGGATCAATAGCAGATCCAGTGCTCCTCATCCCATTATTCCCAGGCAGAAATACTCATTTACCGAGGTGTGGAGAAGGGAAATATTTGCCACCTGTTGGACCAGAGGCTTTAGTGAGGACATTGGGTAACCAGCCTTGAGCCACTGGGTGGAACCAGGGCCACTACATGGTGCCAGCCTTGGGTAGTTCCTTCCCAAGGTGGGGCTGCGGTGGTGGGGAGATGTTCACTGCCCCTCCTTTGATCCCAAATCTTTCCTTTGGTCAAGTCATAGCTTAACTGAGAGTCTTGGGAAGGTCACAGTGGGGGACGCTGATGGGGGCCACCAGCTTCTCAAATATTTGGTTCAGCAAAGCTTTGCAGATGTTGGGTAAGGAAAAGGGTTTTCCACAGTGAAGGATCACACAGGGCATCAGGAGGGGTTAAACCATCCTTAGCAGCTGCTGAATTGTCTGAGATTAAAATTCCAGCTAAAGAGGAAGGAAAAATAACTCTGAACCATCCCAGATCTTACCTTTACTTCAAAACACAAGCTGCGATGCAAGATTTGGGGGGAAAATAGGATTTTAGTGGTGGTGGTGACTCCCAAACCCCAGGAGCCCCCTGAAGCCTGAGGCCATCAATGCCTCCAAGTGGCTGAACCCTCCAGGCAAGGATTTGTCACTGTATGTTATGAATAATAAATCAAGCAGTTCAGCATTGTTGCAGTTTTGGGATGTAATTCCCAGGAAATGTTATTTAAGGGGTTTGTTGTAATGAGGGATGTCCAGAGCATCAGATTTTCCTCCAGCCACCAGCATCCCACTGAATCTGGTCCTTCCCAGAGAGACCCCCCTCACTCTTTGCCATCCCCTCTGGGAAGGTGGGGATGATGTGGTTCCCAGATAGAGGGCATGAAATGGGATCCTGATTTTTTTAGCCGGGTGGAAAACAACATTTGAGGCTTTATTTTTGGTAAAATCCAACCAGCAAACAATAGCAATAAGAGCTGCTGGATACTCATAAATCCAGGTGTTTTTGGTTTGAGTTTTTTTTTTAATTGCCAATATTTTCAGGCCCTCCAAATGTAGTGACCCTCTGCCCATCTTCCCTTCACTTTGCTCCTGAGCCAGGATCAGCCTCCAAATATTTTCTCTGCTGTGTGTTAGCATTTCCCTTGGGAAAAAAAAGGGAAAATAAAGCCTGTGATGGAGCTTGAGAGGGAGGAAATCTTGGAAAAGGTGGCATGTTGCACCATGGCACTTGGAGATTCTCTGGCAATCTAGGTGAAAGAACTTGTGGGAATGTTTGCAGGGCAGGAATAGCAAAATACTGTGGTTTAACAGGAGCGATTCCCATTTGGAAACGCTCGATTGTGTGGCTTGTAGGGAATAATCTTGATGCAACACGGCCACCTGCAGCCTCCCTGTATCCTCCTGCAAGAGATGGAGCTGGGAGATGGAATTTTCCAGGGGGAAAGGGGTTCAGGATCAGGGGAGGGATTTGTAGGGAAGCATGGGAAGGTCCAGGATCACACCCAAACCCTTCCCTTCCCACAACACGGCCTCAACCCACACCAGGCTCCCACCCCTCTCTTTCTATGTAATTAATTTTAAATTGATTTTGACCACCAGACCAGCTTGGTTTTAAGTATTATTGGACCTCTTAAATAAAAATAAATACCAAAATAAATTCCCTGAAAGAACAACAACAAAAAAAATTTAAACCCAAGAGTAACCACGTCTTCCAAGTCTACATCTCACAGGTGTGTAGGGAGCATGGCCTTGGACTGATGCCCTGGAGAGCCCCACAGCTTCATTTTGTCCATCTGAAGTGTAAATTTGGGATAGTTTTCCCATTTGTTTTCTGTTCTGGTTTTGGTTCTGAAGATCAAGTCGTGATCTCCCTGACAGATTTCAGCCAAGAGTTTGTAACTGTACGATATTTACTGTAAGATGTAGAACATTCGATAACTATTAAAATGTTTCCCAAAAAATTAAATAAATAAATAAAAGAGCCCGAGAGGGTTTGGTGGTTGGTTTTTTGGCACGGTGATGTCGTGGAGAGGTGAATGGGACCAGCCATGAACCCTTTTTTGGGTTGATGGTTGAGGCTGATGGTCTCCAACCCAACCTTGGGTGGGTTATCCCAGTGATCCCAACATGGCCAAGACAGTGTGATACCATTGAAGCAATTCCTAAGGAAAGTGAAATGTGTCATCTGCATGGTGAGCATCACCACCGCGTGGTCCTGAACTGAGACTTTGGAGAGAGGGTGGATGGATGGAGGAGACCAGCTTTGCTCAGAGCAATCCATGCCCCAGCTGGGCTGTTGGGAAGGGGGGAGTCACTCCGTGATCCAGTCATTCATTCTCCTGCAATGCTAAGCGCTGGCACCAGGTGATGGAGGGAAATCAGGAATTCATGATGGTCCTGGAGAGTTCAACAGAAGACCCAGAAGGTGACCATGAAATGGTATCCAGTGTCCTCTGTGCTTCCAGTGGAACTGTGTTGTGGCATCATGGTTCCCAGAGATTATGATTCCTGTGGCCATCACCACCGGCATCGCAGCTCCCGGACTATCTATGAGGCCACCATGCCATGGCCACCATCAGGCCTCAGAGACAGAATCCTCCTCACCAGCTAAGCGAAACGCTGGGTTTGCTGTGCTGCTCTTGGACACCTTGGTGGCAGGTGCAGAAGCTGAGCTGACACCTCCAGCACTTCGCAGCTCTAAGTGGGACTGGCTTTCACACAATGCCCAGTGTCCTCCACAGGGCCTTTCTGGGTGTCACTGACCCCTGAGGCAGCCCCCAGGCCAGGTGCCTGCTGTGGAGGACAAGGGATGGACCACAGGTGAGCCTGGATTGGCCCCTTTGCATCACCCAGGGTGGCAGGAGGCACTCGGTGTCACCCATCTATGGCTGTCACTACCCAACCCAGACCTCCCTGGCACGGTTTGTTGAGGCTGTTTCCCCTTGTCCTGTCCCTGTTCCTGGGAACAGAGCCACAAGGTCCCCCCTGAGCCTCCTTTTCTTTGGGCTGAGCCCCTTCCCAGCTCCCTCAGCCTCGCCTGGGGCTCCAGCCCCATCCCAGCTCCATTCCCTTCCCTGGCCATGCTCCAGCCCCTCCATGTCCTTGTGGGGAGGGGCCCAGAGCTGGCTGGTCACAGCAGCAGTGCTGCTGGTGGAGGGGCACAGGGACGTGAGTGAGGGCACGTGAGCCCGTGCAGCTGCCTATGAGTCACGCAGCAGCCCCTGGCCGTGCCACCCAGTGCCCGGCCCTGCCAGCGCCCTGCAGCGAGGGACACCCCTCCCTCCTGCCTCGCTGTCCCCACACCGTGTCCCTATGGCGTTAATGCTCCATTTCCCAGCCTTCACAACCCCTCTGTCTGGGGAGGACCCCAGGGCTCCCCACCACCCTCTCACCTCGTGGGGGCCCTTGGTGCTGCTCCATCATGGGGTCACATCCCGCTGCCGGCGGGGAGGGGACCACGGAGGGGCTCCCCCCCTGCCTCGCTCCTCACCTCAGGGATCCGGGACACCCGAAACCTGTTGGAGAGCAGCACATCAGCCTGTCCCCCCGCTTGCAGAGGGGACACACACCGGGGGGCTGTCCCTGCTTACCTGCCAATAGAGAGGATGGTCACCTCACTGGGATGAGCCCCGGGCTTGGGGACTTTGGTGGCACTGAGTGATGGCAACACTTCGGGCCACTTCTGGCTGCAGCGGGCACATGGGGCCGGTCCCTGCACCGTGTGCAGGTGCTGCTGGTGGTGGCAGGTGGGGGGAAACTGAGGCAGAAGGTGCAGCCTGGGGAGGGGGGAAATGCCGTCAGCATGGGGGTGGTCCCACCATGAGGAGCCCTCAGTACAGCCTTAGGGGACTCTTTACTTATTGAGGGGGGCACAGCTCGGTGGCATCAGCTGCTGCCTCTGGTGCTCCTTCAGCAGCTCCTCCAGCGCCGCTGCATTTTCTGTGTGTGGAAGGACACCAAGGGGCTGGGGGTCACAGGGCTCTGGCCCAGGTCATCCCCCTCCTCCCCCTTCCTGGGGACCCCCCCGACCTTTTTTCTCGGTGATCAGCCGCACCAGAACCCCGATGGTATCCTCGTTAGCATCCTCCAGCTGGTAGATGGAGCTGGCACCTGGAAAGAAATCAGCAAGTCAGGGAAAACTTGGTGATGGGGGATGAAGCAACCCAGGATGCCCTGGGACAAGGAGAACCAGAAACTACAGGAATGAGCTGAGCAATGGATGTGGGATCACCAAAGGTGTCATGGCACAACCAGGGCTCACCGGTGCTGCCGATCTGGGGCTCCTTGCTGGTGGTGCAGTGATAACCCTTCTTCTTCAGCAGGTTGCAGACCAGGATTCCCAACAATCCCATGGCACAGAAGACCGGGACGATGGTCAGTACGCCTGCCTGTGCTGCTGCTGCCTCCTCCTCTTCCTCACCCAACAGGGTCACACGTGTCCCGTTGGTTCCCGGTGCCCAGCCCGGCATTTCGGGGCTGCGGGCTCGCCGCCGTCCTGCAGGGAGGCACAGGTCAGCCTCAGGGAGGGGCTTTGTCGGGATTAAACCCCGTTTCCCCAGGAGCCCCGCAGCAGGGCTGGATCCAGGGAAGCAGAAGCCGCTTGTGTCGTGAGCAGAGGTGTCCTCAGCTGTCACATCCCACCAGGACATCCCAAGGGCCACACACCCTGTGACGTCCCCGGGCCGAGGGCCGGCACAAGCTCCTGCATCTCCCCCGGCCCTGGGGTGACACCTCCGGCTCCAGCACCCACCTGGGCACCCCGGGGTGCCGCGGGGAGCAGCGGCGCAGGGCAGGCACCGGCCCCGGGGCTCCCTGTCCCCTCCGGGGCTGTGAAACCTGCGGGGCGGGAGGGGAGGGTCAGGACACGGCCCCCGAGGCAGGGCAGGGCTGGGGCTCGGCGTCCCCGGCTGGGCTCACCCCGGCAGGCAGGCTCCGCAGCGGCTGTCGCTCGCCGCCGTCCCCGCGGCCAGCAGGACCCTGTTCCCGGCCCGGCACTGCGTGTGAGCGGCGCAGGACGCGGCCCCCAGCGAGAAGGTGCCGGGGGGACACGCCCGGCACGTCCCCGCTGCATCCTGCCGTGGGGACAGGGGGGTGAGCCGTGCGCGGCTCCCGCAGCCTCCCCGGGCCCGGCTCGCCCCGCTGGGCTCGGCTTACCCCGGCGGGCTCCTCTCCGGGCGGGCAGCCCGCTGCGCCCTGCTCCGGGGCGCTGCAGCTCCCGGCGCCCTGGGCGGGTCCGCTCAGCACCTGCGGCAGGATCGGAGCGCTCAGGGCCGCCGGCTGCGGCTCCGCCGCTGCCCTGCCGGCAGCGCTGGGGCTCCGGTGGCACATGCCACCCTCTCGCTTGTCCCCGGCCAGGAGACGGCCTTCTCCCGCGGGGTGAGGGATGTGAACTCGCTGGATGCACCGTGACGGATGCAAACCCATCCCTATGGCCTGTATAGTGTTGAAGCATAGGAGAGGCAGAGGGATGGGATGAGATGGGACAGACGAGGCCATACTCACCCCCAGAATGGTGACAAGCCACCAGTGCATCCCACTCCTCTTCATCACCCGGGGAAACCTGCCCAAGGGGAAACACCAGGGTTATCATCCAGGGAAAGTCCCACTGGAGAAGTAATTTGGGGACACTTTTTCTCCCTTCCGGGGTGCTCCAAGGTATCTGCCCAAATATCCCTACAGCAGCAGTCCTGAATCATCCCCCAGAAAGTTATTTTACGGAATGCCCAGCATCACCCCTTCCCTTGGAGATCCCAGCTCCATCCCAAACTGGAAAGGGACCAACCTCAGCAGTGGAGTCACACCATTCATGCAAGGAGCAGATGATGCCAAACAAAGTAAAAGAAAGGTTTTTCCTGCTCCGGAGGAAATCCTTTTGCATCTGTCACAAGGAAATGAAGTCATTAAAAAAAAAAATTAAAATATTTAAATAAAAACTCAAACAAAACAAGAGGTGTTTCCCAGAGTCTCACCCCCCACCCTGGGCTCAGCAATTGGTTGTTAAAATTAAAATCTATGCTGACAGCACAGGGGAAGGAAGGAGAAAATAAATAATAACCCAAACCCGGATCCAGCCTCCACATGGAAATCCTGCCGCCTGCATGGAAATCCTGCCGCCCGCATGGAAATTCCCCCTCGGTCGTCACGGTCCTGTGAGAGCCCTGGCAAAGCTTCATTACAGCCTGTGCCTGACGAGTTTCTCCTAAATAGTGGCCAGCACCACGCTGAGATGCAGCTAATTACACGTGAAGGGGGTCCCAGGGGTGAGCGGGGCTGAGCTGGGTGTTTATAGGATGTGGGTTGGGACAGCCAAAATGAGCAGAACCCAAAATGGGCAGAATCCAAAATGGGCAGAACCCAAAACGAGCATCCTCCAATACTCCATACTCCAGTTCCCTCCAGTAGCTCCCAGTACAAGAGCACTCCTGCAGGGTGCCAGCATGGAGCCAGCCCAGCTCCTGAATCCCCCTGGGATGTGAGATGTGCCCCTCGAGCACAAAGGGATGGTGGTAGCCTGTGCAAGCTCTCCACCCTATAATCCAATAAAACTCCAGTTTAAACCTAACGTGAAGCATTTTAATTCTCTGGGGCTGTGCAATTCAAGCGCCTTAGGGACACTCTGAGATGTCTGGGGACCGACTCTGCTGGGGAAGAAATGGCCTCAGGAGGGGACAGGAAGGTCCCAACGTGGCTGAGGGACCACAAACATTCCACATCATGATAACTGGATCTAAACACCACCAGGAGCAGGGGTAAAGCTGATTTGAGGCAAAGCTCAATCCAGAGATTAAAGGCATCCCTCAGATGAACAAAACGCGGCCATAGGGATGCAGGAGGTGCAGGGACTGGCAGGTGCCAGCTCCTGCTTGGCACTGGAACTTTGCCCAGGACTCAGCACCCACTTTTGGGGGCAGCTTGGGGCAATCCCAAGTTGGGATGGGGTATGCAGGCACAAATCCCCAGCTGATGATGCTGGGGAAGCCCAGCTGCCCTGACACACTCCTAAACCGACAGAATTTGCTGCTTCAAGAACCAGAGAAAACCAAAAAATAACCGCACCAGTGCCAGACCTGGCTGCTTTTGGGGACACTCCAAGCCCCGTACCCCCACCTGACTGGTGCATCAATGCCAACGCACCAGAGGAGGCGACTTGGTTTTGGAAACCTCCCCAATTCCCTCCAGATCACATGAGCCGCTTATTCCCAGCCCCCCTAAACAGAATCTGTAACCCAAAACTGCCCGCCGGGATTCCAGCGAGGGCATTCCCTCCCCGTGGGGGAACAGGGTTTCACCGCTGGCTCCTGCAGACAAACGGAGGGAAAAAGGAGCAACTGTTCGGGAAAACTTTAGGGAACAGCTGCCGGAGACAGCCTTGGACAAGGAGGGGATTGTCCGGCAGATGGAGCGAAACTCGGCATTATCGCACTGCTGGGGCCCACGGGAGCAGTGGGAACGAGCGAGCCGCCGCAAAATTCCAGCGTTCAAGTCCGAGCATCCCCGGGGAAGCGCTGGGGCGGCGCACAGCCCCGGCAGCGGCACGTCCCGGGGTGCAGCCCCGCGCCGCAGCATCCCGCAGCATCCCCGGCCCTCTGGCTCCGAGCCCTGGGATTTTCCAGCTCCGGCAAAAAATAAAAAAAAGGGAGGAGAAAAAAAGAAAAAAAAAAGACCCGACGCGGCTCCTACCTCTTTTCCCAGGCAGCTGCTGGTGAGTATTCCTTAACCTACTTTTTCCTCATTTCCACCCTTTATTTTAACCTACTTCGACGCTGCAGCAGCCGCAGGGGCTCTCCCCAGCGCACCCCACTCCCGGCGGAGCCCCCCCGACACCCCCTTGAGGGATAAAGCCGAGACAAAAACACCGCCCATCTTCTTCAGCGCAAAGCGGGGGTCGAGCACCCCAAAAAGCACCAGACCCCCCCTCCCCGCGCCACCCGCAGCTGCAGTAACCCCAGCCGCAGACCCCCGCATGGGGAAGCGGCCCTTTAAAGGGGGATGGCCCGAGCCCCTCCGGGCAGAGGGGTGTCCCCGTGCCGGGGGTGTCCCCTACCTGTCCCCGCCGCGGAGCCCCCAGGCTCCCCCCAGGGCCGCCCCGTCGCTCCCGCCTCCTCCTTATCAATGAACCCGCGGGCGCGCGCCAGCAAACCCCGCCCCCGTGACGTCACGCTACGAGACCACGCCCCCCGGCTGCCTGCGGCAGCGCCACCTCCCGGCCGCGGCGGGGACTGCGGGAATTACAAATCCCGGCCGGGGGAGGGATTTGGGATGGGCTTTATCCCGCTCGGAGGGAAAACGGGCACAACCAGAGCAGGGTGGGTTGGACCTGCCCAGCAAGAATTTAAATTTAAAAAGAAAAAGGATTGTTTTTCTTTTTTCTTCCCCATGTGGGCCCGCTTTCCTACCTGTCCTACAGCACACCATGCCTTGTCCTGTTCCCTAGGGGACAGTTTTCTCACAGGGGAAACACGCGGTTGCCGTCAGGCCTGGTGTTCCTTCTATTCCCCTCGGTTTTCCCCAGGACGACCTGGTGTCCCCTGTTCCGCTGTTTGCCCACCCGGGGTGCGCCACGTCCCGATGCTCTATGGCACAAGGGATGGATATCCTGATATCCCTCTCAGGCTTATCCAGGACAGAATGACTGCGCCACAGTGGTGGAGACCGTTTCTTCCTCCCACTGGAGTCTTAATCACCAGTGGCACCAGTGGGTGACATTCCCAGTGGTACCAGTGGGTGGTGGGAGCCATGGCCGTCCTCACCCTGTCCCTGCCACCCCATCCCGAGGGGAAGGACGAGACCACGCTGGGATCATTCTGGCACGGGTGACCTTTAATAACAAAGAGCCCCCAAGTGACCGAAATCCCCCCCGCCTCCTTTCCCAAAATAACCTCATCATCCCAATTATAGCACACACCCACTCACTCCGCTGATGGACAGATGGATGGCTCCATGTGGGATGGCAGCATTCCTGTCACTCACCCAGCCGTGTGGGACTGGGGACACCCTGATTCATCCCTGTCACCACGGTTGTCACGTCTCCCATGGGGACAACAGGGTGTCCCAATCTGGGAGCACTGATCCTGGATCCTGGGGTGAAAGCAGGAAAATGGGGGAGAAAAAGGGCAGATGGGGGAGGGCTGGTCCAGCACAGTCGCATTTTTAGGGTCCCTCACACTGTCACCCCATTGTAAGGGTGGGGGGACAGCCCTGGTGGCGGGCGGGGAATGCGATGATTGTTCTAATCCAGAGATGCTTCTAACGTCAGCAGCGCCTTCACCCCACTTTCCAGGCTGCAAAATCCCACTGGGAATCACAGAGAAGGAAGGGGAGGGACCCAAATTTCCTTCCCTCCTCCCCTCCATCATCTCCCCCCCTCCACCAGCGTGGTCCAGCTCCGCCCCAGCGGGGTCAGGCTGTCCCTCGGGGCGATGAACCGGGAAGTTTTAACCCCTCAGCTCCGGCGTGGAGGGACTGGTAGAGCGGTGATGATGCCCCTGACCCCTCCCCAAACCCCCAAATAAATAAGGATGTTTATATATATATAATATATATATATATTTAAAACAAACGAACAAACAAACAGAGCTATCTGGGTGCTGGCGATGGAGCGAGCGGGTTAGCGGGAGGCCCGGGCCGGGGAGGACACCGCGGGTGGATTGTCCCTGGGGTGGTCCCGCGGAGTGGCCGGGGGTCCCGGGGGCCGGGGGAGGTGACAGGCCCGCGCCCCCCCCCGCCCCGTGAAGCAGGCACACACAAAACCGGCGAGCAAGGCAGGTTCCTGGCTGTCGGGCATCCTCCGGCCGGTCCCCAGGGATGCTCGGTATCGTCCTCCTCCTCCTCCGCGCCTTCCCAAGCAAACCCCCCGCCCCCTCCCCATCTTCCGGAGGCCCCCGAAGCGCTGCGTGTCCCCCCCCGAGTCCAGCGCGGCGGCCGGGGGGACGGCGGGGGGAGCGGGGCTCATCCCCCCAGCGCCGAGCACACAGAGAGCAGCCGGGCTGGAGATGAGAGGTGCTGGGGCGGGGGGCGGCGGGGAGGGGGCCGGACCCCCTTTCTGCACACAAGGGGGCCAGCACCCCCCGTTTCTGGCCGGTGGCTGGTCACGCTCTCCAGAGGAGGAGGTGGTTGGTGCTGTCGTCCCGGCCCACGGTCTCGCTGCTGCTGGTCAGCCGGAAATCCTCGTAGCCGTCCCCGCCGCTGATCACCAACATCTTGGGCTTGGACAGGGCCAGGGCGGGGGCACGAGGGCGGGACGGGTCTCGTTTCTCGGCCTCGCTCGGCTTCTCGGCCCCTGCCAAGCGCAGACCCCCCCGCAGTGCTGTCACCACAACTCCGCTGGTCCCCACCGGATCCCACCAGCGACACCTCAGCATCAACCCTCCACCGCTTTCCCAGGCACCGCATCCCGGCCCCAAAAACCTCCTCTCATCCCGATAGCCCCTCCCACCCCAGAGTGGCCCCTGTAACCCAAATTAGCTCTTCCCTTCAAAACTGCCAGCTCCCATCCCATTTCCTCCTTCTCCCCATCCCTGCCCCGCCTCGAAGCTGGGTGACACCGTGGGAATTTGGGTCTCTCTGGGAAATCTGCGGTTGCCCATGCTGGTAGAGAGCAGCTGAGTACCCAGTTTCCCCCATCCTCCACTGCCAGTTTTTCACCCTGGATTTTAAGAAGGCAAGAACTCAACGGGGACACCAACGCTTCCTGGTCATCCAGAACAGCATTCCCAGCCCCACAAACCCGGTGCGCTGCCACGACTGCGACATGCCAGCCACCCCACCTACCCGTGTCCCTGAGCAGGGGGAAGAGGACGTCAAAGCCGTCGGGCAGCTCGATGGCCGTGAGGAAGCGCACGTGGCCGGTGTGGCCCTGGGACAGCCCCACTAGCGTGGGAGCTGCCTTGGGTGACACCGCCAGGGTGAGCACCACACCGGCGCTGGTCCCAATCCACAGCAGGTCCTTGCAGGCCAGCAGCGCCGTGATCCGCAGGCAGGCGGCCTTGTGCTGCCGGATGATGGCATCCGAGCCTGCCGGGCATCCCTGCCATCGGTGCCTTGTCCTGCCCCACACAGCGTGGGGAAACCCCCCACCCACAGGGATCCATTCCCAGGGGGATCTGTGGCACACGGGACATGGCGAAGGGAGCTCACAACCCCCCCTCCCCAGCTGGTGGCATCACATTGGGTTGATAGGACAAGAGGGAATGGCTTCCAACTGAGAGAGGATAGAGAAGGAATTCCTGGCTGTAAGGGTGGGGAGGCCCTGGCACAAGGCACCCAGAGAAGCTGTGGCTGCCCCTGGATCCCTGGAAGAGTCCAAGGCCAGGCTGGACAGGGCTTGGAGCACCCTGGGATAGTGGAAGGTGTCCCTGCCATGGCAGGGGATTGGAATTAGATGATCTTTAAGGTCCTTTCCAACAGAAACCATTCAGGAATTACACAATTCTGTGATTATGGGATTACTGCCCTGTTCCAACATTCATCCATTTCCCCAGGGGCTGCCCTATTTCCATATGGGATTACCCAGCTCCCTAACATGAGCACAAGGAACTTGTATCTCCTCCCCCAAACCCAGCATCCTAGATTTCCCAGCACTGGGTGCTTCAGGGCATTTTCCAGGGCTGCTGGCACCCCCGGGAGCCAGCACTGGCACCCATTGGAGACACACCACGGGTGTCCCTTACCGGCGAGCATCTTGTGCACCGGGGGGGTGACGTCTGCCTCCGCCAGCTGCTCGTAGGTGGTGGCATGGTACAGCCGGACCTGGGCGCTGCCCTGCAGCGCGACCCACACGCCGCTGCCCGCGCTCACCATGCAGGTGACGCTGCGCCCGCCGTCCTGCCCCACCTGGAGCGTGTGCTGCGGGGGGACAGATGCCACCGGTGATGCCACCGGTGATGCCACTGGTGCCCGTCACACCTCCCGCCGCACCCTCTGGCTGCCACCCACCGTACCTCCTGTGCCAGCGTGGTGGTGTTGAGGACCATGACTCGGTTTTGGCAGCCGCACCACAGCTTCCCTGCCACCGCCACCATCTTGGTGATGGGGCTCCCCGGAGAGCCCAGGGACAGGGACTTGGAGTTCTGGGGGTCCCAGAAGCGACCTGAGAGGGTGGGGAGAGTGGGGTGGGTAGTTAAAGCATTCTCAAAAACAAGTCCAACTCCATATGGACAGTGGGGTGTTGTGGCTGAAGACAACTTTCTCCAGGTCACCTCTCAGAGGGGACATTAAACTGATGCCACCATGGGGTTCCAGTGGCCTGCAGGAACCAGGAGAAAAGCGCCCACATCCACCTGCCTCTGAGTGTGGTGTCTCCAGCATCCTTCCAGGGATATCCCTTTCCATGGAAGGAGGGAAGCCACCCTGAGCATCCCTCCGCAGAGGTAGCCCAAGCCACCCTCCAACAGCCACCACTTTGGGGATGCGTTTTTGACATCCCAAATTGAACCTCACCTGCTTCTCGCTGGTACACAACAAGCTCCCCGTTGGCCAATGACACAAAAACCTGGTTATCCAGGTACCTGTGGGCACAAACCACCTTTGACATCCAGCTGCAGAAGGCCAAAATCCCCTGCCCTGCCCCACCCAGAGCTGAAAATCTCCCTTCTTCACTTACAGAATGCACATGACAGCAGCAGCGTGTTGCATCTTCATGCTGTTCTTCCTGTTCCGGATGTTGTCTGAGGACTGGTACACGTGGATGCTGAAGGAGGAGAGCAAAGCTTGAGGCTCCCCCAGGACTGGCGTCCTTCCCGTGCAGGAATTCGCATGCTGGGGAACCTACCAGCCATCCTCGGTGCCCAGCCACATGGAGCTCTGATGGGCTTCGGGGTCAAGGCTGAGGAGGTCCTCGAGGCTGCCGTGGGTGAAGGAGCCGCGGCTGGAGCGGCGCAGGGCCCGCCCGTCCGTGGGGCTCTCGCCGTGCCGGCTCTGCCCGTAGGTGCCAGTGATGGGCATGAAACCAGGCTCCTGCTCTTCCTCTGAGCTCGTCGTCTCCACTGCCGCCTCCTTGCAGCTTGAGATCTCTTCATCTGCAGAGGAGGAAGAGGAGGAGGAAGGAATGGGTCAGACCATGACCATCCAACACTCTCCAAAGGCATGGGGAAGAGACCATGGGTGGCGTCAAGCCCAGGGGATGGCACAGGGATGCTGAGCCCCAAAACCCACGAGGCTTCACCCAAAGTCCCCCCCATCTCAGTACCACACTGCTGGGCCAATGCCTTTAAACATCTCTTTTCCCAGGCTCAAA